TTTTTTTTATATTTCACAAATATTTCATAAATACAAAAATTTGCCATTTTTTTGACATAGTCTACTATGTGGAGTTAAAATTTTATAAATATTGGGAAGAGTTGTCTTCTTTATTTATTTTAATTTCAAAAATAGACACTCGACTTAATTTGATTGGCATAAAAGCCACTATAAAGGGGATTTCTAATTTCATGAATGTGGAATTATCACATGTACATATAGAATGTATATTATGTGAAATGTATAATTATTATACTGAAAAAGAAGGTCAATGTAGTTCTACTTTCCAAAGTTCTTTTTCAAAAAATATTTCAACAAATTCAGATGATTTATGAAATTATTTGAAAAGCAATACAAGTATTCTCTCATTTAGTTCTAGTTCATCAATGTCTAGAGTGATAAATGTAGGAGATACAAATCTTGAAATTCCCTCTGAGTTAGTTAGGTATATGTGCGTGGATGTTCGTAGTGTGTTGCCTTCAAAAGAATTACAGGAATTTAGTCTTCTAAATTGGTGGAGGTATAATGAAAGACAATATCTAATTGTATCAAAAATTGCACGTGATTTACTAACATCTCTGATGCCTACAGTAGCATTGGAGGCTGCATTCAGTTTAAGTGGTCGAATTTTATCAGATGAATGTTCAAGACTAAAGAAAGTATATTTGAGGCTTTAATATGCTTGAAAGATTGAAAATGTGCGGAATTACGCATTCAAGAATATTTTGACAGCATAATGGTCGAAGAGTTGCAACAGATCCAATTATAGAATGTTGCAAGTTTTTAAAATAATTTGTTTCAAAAAATATGTAATTTTTAAATTTATTTGTTTTAAAAAAATTTGTACACAAAATATTTTATTTGTGTACAATTTTAACTCTTGTCCCAAGCCTGAACAAAGAGGATGGTTGTAAGTTGTAACTTTTATTTAATTTGTAATTCGTATAAATTATGCAATTTTATAAATTATAATTTTTATTTAATTTATAACTCGTATAAGTTATACAATTTTTAAATTCTTTCCGAGCTTCTGCTCAGCTCAGTTCGGGCTGGAAAAAAGTTCGTTTGATTTTGCTCGAGCCGAGGCCGAGACTTGGAAAAAAGTTCGTTTGATTTTGCATTTTAATTGAGAACATGATTCTCGGGTATGTATTATTTGTTTTTGGCATTTTAAGTCCTTCTGGGACTTTCATATATATGTCATTATCAAGTGAATCGTACAAATAGATAGTAAATTTTAGTAAATTTTGATAAAAATTGATAAAATATGTGATTGAAAGATAGATAAAAGTTGCAGATCTCATGAAAATCTGTACTTGAAAGTGAATTAAAAATGAATTTTGAAAAAATAAGGATCAATCGGGATCTTAATGATAAGATTATTAAAGTGAGTCTTATGTTCATACATTTAACTGACTCATTTCATGATACACATCCCACATTGATGATCGTCATTATTCAACATATATCATTTTATTTGACGAGACATTCGCTAGATCTAGTTCGAGTTCCTCATAAGAGTTCATTCATCAAATCACTTCGTCCTTTCCTCCCTTTGATCAGTTGGACCTATATTGGAGTCCAATAGCTTTTTGCCAATTGTTGGCCAACATTCGAAATAATAAACATCAAGAGTTTGTTTAGCAGGGATTCTTCTTTTGTTTTTGCTTTTGAAGAGTTTTCCTAAAAAAAATATATATGTCATGTAAATTTTTTATAAAAGCTATTATAGCCACACAAATTATTTTTAAAAAGTTATCAAAATATTTTCAAAATTAACTTTTTAATTCTAAAAGTAACTTTTAACTGTTCAAAATCTTCATAAAACGGAGTCTAAGAATACAACTAAACCCCTATTTGGTACTGTTAAAAATCTAATTAAAATCGAAGTAAAATTAATAATTAATTTTAATAACATATTTAATAAAATTTATCATTTTTTAACTGGAAGTTCTATAAATTTTTATTCAAATTTACTAATTTTTTTTTTTAATTATCTAAATTAAAACATAGGATTAAATTCTCACTTCAAGAACCGTTAGTACGTGCGGCGTGGAGAAATATACCAACTGATTAACTTTTTGGACTCGGTTTCCCAACTCAACTCAGATTCCCAATCCAACTCACTTTTCTCCTTTACTGTCACCCTCCTGTAATAATCATTCATTCCTTAAAAGTCAAGCAAGAATATAACCCATCACCTTCCTTTCCTTATTCTGCTACACACTTTATCTCTCTTTTTCTATGGCCTTCGCAACTCAGAAATCGCGGGTGCCTTGTCTTGTATTTTGATAATTTCAAGCTTAAGAATTGTTCGTATTATACTGATTTTATCTTAACAGAGATATGGCGACAAAACAACTTCGTACCAACAAAAATGAATACATGGCTAATTCCGATGACACTGAAACTGGATTTTTACAGTCTTTTGACGATGCGGGTGAGCCACCCAACCCTTTTGGCGAGTTGGGTCTGCACCTAACCCCGTCGGAGCTCCTGGAGACAGCCTACGAGGTCCTAATTGGAGCCTGCCGGAGCGCTGGAGCCGGCAGACCCCTCACTTACATCTCCAATTCTGAAAGGACCACCGAGAGGTCACAGTCGATGACATCGTCGTCTTCCCCTTCGCTTCAGAGGTCGCTGACGTCATCTGCGGCGAGCAAGGTCAAGAAGGCTCTGGGGCTGAAATCCTCATCGAAGAAGAAGAACGGGGAGGACTCCGAGTCAGCGAGTCAGGGTATCGGTAACTCAGTTAGGAAGAGAGCAGGGACTGTTGGTGAACTGATGAGGGTCCAGATGAGGGTTCCGGAGCAAATCGATTCCCGAGTCCGACGAGGCTTACTCAGAGTCGCCGCCGGCCAGGTTACAATTGGAATTTCACGTTTGATTGCTTGGAAATTTGTTTAGTTATACTTAATTATTTCGGCGCTGTAATCCATTTGCTACTTCGTTTTATTAAGTGTATAAGAGAATTTCTCACTTTAATTGGGGCTGTAGAAATTTTTTACTGTGTTAAGTGGAAATTACTCATTTTTGATCAGGTGATCATTTCTGGGGAAAAATGAGGAACTGGGGGGGGGGGGGGGGGGGAG